ACCAAAAGCTGGTGATTTGAAAACATCAATAAAATTGATAAACCTCTAGCCAGACTGATTATAAAAAAGAAAAGACCTGCAGATTATCAATATCAGTTATATATAAGGAATATATAATAGCTATAGAAGATTTACAGATTCTATAGATAGCAAAAGGACAATAAAGGTATATTATGACAATTTTATGTCAATAAATTGGAAAACAGGTGAAATCAACAAATACCTTGAAAGACGCAAACTATCAAAGCTCACTTAGGAAGAAATAGTATAGCCCCATATAATTGAAAGACTTTAAATGTACGGTTTGGAACATTCCTACAAAGAAAAGTCCACCCCCAGACTGCTTCACTGGTGAATTCTACCAAACATTTAAGGAAGAAACGATTTGTTTAGAAAACTGAAAATGAGAAATTACTTCTCAACTAAGTTTACGAGGCCAGCATTACTCTGATATTAGGAAAAAAGACATTTAACAAGAAAACTGCAGACCAATATCATTTATGAACATTTATCCAAAAAATCTAAACTAAAATGAACTTGGATTCTTCCCTTGTATACAAAAATCAACTCTAAATGGGTCATAGATTAAATGTAATATCTGAAACTGTAAAACTTTTAGAAGAAAACAAAAGAAAGAAACCTTAAAGATCTTGGTTAAGGCAAAGATTTCTCACATACAACGCCGAAAGCACAATCCATAAAAGAAAAAATTGTCAGGTTGGGCTTCATCAAAATCAAAACTTCTGCTCTTCAAAATACACTGTTAGGAAAATGGAAAGATGAGCTACAGAGTGGGAGAAAATATTGGCAAATAATTATCTGCTATAGCATTAGAATATATAAAGAACTCTCAAAAAAGTAATAATAAGAAAACAATTCCATTTTTAAATTGGACAAAAGATTCCAACAGGCATTTCACCCAGAATATACACATGGCAAATAATCACATGAAAATATGCTCAACATCATTAGTCGTTAGGGAAATACAAATTAAAACTACAAGGAGGTGCCACCACACACCTAAAAGAATGACTAAAATTTAAAAGGCTGGCCATACCAAGTGTCGGTGAGGACATGGGGGAAATGGAACTCTCATACACCACTGGTCAGAATGCAAAATGGTGCAACCACTTGATCATTTCTTACAAAGTTAAACAGATACCTACTGTACGATTGAGTCATTCCATTCCTAGGTATTTACCCAGGAGAAAAGAAAGCATTATGTTCATACAGCCTAGCAGCTTTATGTGTAATAGCCACAAACTGGAAGCAATCCAAATGTCCATTAGCAGGTAAATAGATTTACAAACTGTGGTATAGCCATCTAATGGGCTATGGCTTAGCAACAGAAAAAAATTATTGATACATGCATCAGCGTGGATGAAACCCAAATGATTATATTGAGTGAAAGATGCCAGGCCAAAAAAAAAAAAAAAAAAAAAAAAGACAGAGAGAGAGAGAGTGCATACTGTATGAGTCCATTTATGTAAATCCTGAGAAATGCAGACTGATGTATAATGACAAAAAGCAGATCAGTGGTCACCTGGGAATGGTTTGGAGTGGGGAGGGAAGGGGGAGGGAGATTACAAAGAAGCATGAGAAGACCATTCTGAAGTGACAAATGTCCTTTCTCTTCTTTGAGGTGATGGCTTCATGGGTGTACACACGTATCACAACGTACCAATTCACCCCCTCTAAAGATACGCATTTGAATGTCAACCATCCCTCAACAAAACTATTTCTAAAAGAGATTAATGGCAAAGTCCTTGGAAAAGACCAGCCTTACTAGCCGTGTGGCCTTTTGCAAGTTGCTAAACCTCTAGAGTCCTAATCTGTAAAGTAGGAACCATATTCTTTTCCTTGTACGGTTGTTGTGGCAATTAAAAATAAGACATTAGATATGTTTTGCACTAAAAATACGCTCAGTGGTCGGGCGCAGTGGCTCAAGCCTGTAATCCCAGCATGTTTGGGAGCATGAGGCAGGTGGATCACTTTAGGTCAGCAGTTCGAGACTAGCCTGGCCAACAGGGTGAAACCCCATCTCTATTAAAAATATAAAAATTGAAAAAAAAAAATATATAAAAATTGGCCGGGCATGAAGGCACATACGTGTAATCCTAGCTATTCCCAGTGGGGAGGCTGAGGCAGGAGAATCACTTGAATCTGGAAGGCAGAAGTTACAGTGAGCCAAGATTGCACTACTGTGCTCCAGCCTGGAGGACACAGCAAGGCTCTGGCTCAAAAAAAAAAAAGCTCCGTAAGTGATGTAAATAATATAAAGTGCCCGAAAGAGTAATAGGAAAAGTAATCATCACTTGACCCTAAAATGTCCTGCTTTTGTATATCTGGAGGGATTTCTGTTAAGGGTTTGAAGGCCATGGCATGGTAAGATGTGACCTACCCATTTCACCTACTGTTCCCACTCCCTCCTCCTGTTCTTCCTAGTTTGGCCAGAGCTAAAAGGGGTTTCCCTCAGTCTCTGCCACCGTGCAGCCCTGCTCCCAGCCACCCCACCTTCATGAGCTCATCCTCCCCGCTCATTTGGGACCTGGAACCACATAGACTTGTAGGGAAGAAAACTTTCCTGGGACAATTAAGAGAATGCATGCGGAGCGCACAGCGTGGCTCTGGGCACACTGAACACACAGGTACATGATAGCAATTGTGGTTCCACTAAATGAGCCTGAGGTCTTTCTGTTCCGGCTGCTGGGTCCTCTCGCACACCTGGAGAGCTCTGCTGTGCTGATGGGACAAGTGGAGGCCCAATCCTGTTGTAGGGAAGGGTGGGGAGAGGAAGGCAGACATCGCCCTGTCCTCAAGGATTTGCATTTCCATGAACTGCCTTCGCAAGGGGCCTAGGACAGCCTCAGAGACAGGGAGAGCAACAGGAGCTGAAGTTGGGAAAATGCCCTGAGATGAAAAGCTGTCCCATCTGTGTGAGAGAGAGAGAGAGTGTGTGTGTGAGTGTGTGTGAGTGGATGATTGTGAGTGGGTGTATTTATGTGTGTGTGGGTGGGTGTATTTGTGTGGGGGTGTGAATATGGGTATGAGTGTGTGTGTGTGTGTGAGTGGTTGTGTATTTGTGTGTATTTGTGTGAATGGGTGGGTGTATGTGCATGTGTGTGGGGGGGGTGTGTGAGAGTGTGTGTGAGTGAGAGTGGGTGATTGTGAGTGGGTGTGTGTATTTGTGTGGGGGGGTGTGAATATTGGTATGAGTGTGTGCGTGTGTGAGTGGATGTGTATTTGTGTGTCTATTTGTGTGAGTGGATGTGTATTTGTGTGTGTATTTGTGTGAGTGGGTGTATGTGTGTATTTGTGTGTGTATGAGTGTGTGTGTGTGAGAGTGGGTGATTATGAGTGGGTGTGTGTATTTGTGGGGGGGTGTATTTGTGTGTGTGTGGGGGTGTGAATATGGGTATGAGTGTGTGCGTGTGTGAGTGGATGTGTATTTGTGTGTGAGTGGGTGTGTGTGTGTGTGTGTGTGTGCTTGAGATTTGTCACCCCCATTCCCCTAGCACAGTGCCTGGCATGTAATCACATCTGTATTTTGGTTGTACAGTGAGTGGACGAGAATAAATGGAGCTAGTGATGTAAAAGCAGGGGAGCAGGTGAGCAGGAGCGGAGGCCCTGAGCAGAGGGTGAGAGGGCAAGAAGAGAGGCTGCCTGGCTGGAATCAAGACACAGCTCAGGGACAGTTGGATGTGAGTGGGGAGTGGGGAGTCTGAATGGCAGAATAGAGCATTTGGACTAGGTTTGAACTCTCAGGGTGTCTGGACATCTCAGGATGTCAGGAAGTTCCCCAGGGTCCCCCTTCAGCTCTGCGGGTTCTCCAGCTGCTGTAAGCACGTACTTGCTTCCTGGTTCCCCAGACGAGGTTGCCTCCTCGTCCCTTCTCCCACCCACAGAAGCAGCTGTTCTGAATGGGACATCAGAGACCTCTTTCTCCTGTAGCAGAGGTCCCCGCTCCCAGCCAGAGGAGGGCTGAGAAGCTCCAGATGGAGCGCTGACATCCCCACAAATGCCCACGTGCATGCATGCCACTCACTCAGTGTCACAGTCACTTCTGAACATCAGAGAGCCAGTGCCAAAGCCAACCAGAACACAATCAGGGATCCCCGTCCCAGCCAGGCGCAGGGAACAGCAGATGGGCAGGCCGTGGCGACTATCAGCCATGCACTCAGAGCCTGAGCAAGCTGGCTCCCTTCCCACCAGGTCAGGGCTGACCTGCATCTGGGACAAATAGCTCAGGGCTCATGGCTGCAGGGCTTTGGGGCGGGTGGACCTGGTGTCTCATGGTGCCTTCTGACCTTGCCCCTTTTGAGCCGTAAGAGCCCTCCCCTGTGGCACTTTAGATCATTCAGAGTTTCTGGAACCAGCAGGCAACTTGAGGAAAGTGACACCTGGCCACACCAGAAGGCTGTTTCCCACTGACCGCTGCACAGATTTCTCTGGGTGTTTGGTGTACCCCAGTAGGCTCCTCAAGGGCAGCCTGGTTACTACCCCTGGTTCTGGGTGGACTTTCCTTCCCTTTAAGGTACATCCCTAACTGAGAACCTAAGAACTGAGCTAAAATGAAGTTTTGTGCGAGGTGCAACGTCTATTTCTGCCCAGCCGTGGAGAAGTGGAGCTTTCATGGGATCAGTGAGAGATTGGAGCACAAGTCCTTTGGATAAAGGTTTCTTTATCTAGTGCTCTGAACTGGATAAGAAATAGTCCTGTCTCTGCCATCCAGCAGGGAGCTCCATCTTCTCTGCCTCATGCCCTGGCTGCCCCCACCCAATTCAGAGCCTTGCTTCTCTTGCCTGGATGCCCAGGCAGCAGCCACAAGGCCTGAGCATTGGGCTTGGAGCTTGGAAACCCCCCACTCTACCCCAAATATGCATGCACCTCTGTGGCCGCGCCTGCGTGTACGTGTGCGTGTGCGTGTGCGTGGACCTGCACGTGAGCGCGTGGGACCGGAATTGCTGCTAGAGCATGTTGCCCTCTGTCTGCCCATCCAGGTTACTCCTCACTGCAGGACGAGCTGCTGTCCCCTGCCTCCCTGGGCTGTGCGCTTTCCTCTCCGCTACGTGCAGACCAGTACTGGAACGAGGTGGCTGTCCTAGATGCCATCCCCTTGGCGGCCACGGAGCATGACACCATGCTGGAGATGTCTGACATGCAGGTGTGGTCTGCGGGCCTCACACCCTCCCTGGTCACTGCTGAGGACTCCTCTCTGGAGTGCAGCAAGGCCGAGGACTCTGACGCCACAGGTCACGAGTGGAAGTTGGAGGGGGCGCTCTCTGAGGAACCGCGGGCCCCCGAGCTGGGCTCTCTGGAACTTGTGGAGGACGACACAGTGGATTCAGATGCCACAAATGGCCTTATCGATTTGCTTGAACAGGAGGAAGGTCAGAGGTCAGAAGAGAAGCTGCCAGGTTCTAAGAGGCAGGATGACGCGACAGGTGCAGGGCAGGACTCAGAGAATGAAGTGTCTCTTGTTTCAGGCCAGCAGAGGGTGCAAGCCCGAATCACACACTCCCCCACCGTGAGTCGGGTGACCGAGAGGAGTCAGGACAGGTAAGAGTTTGGCTGCGGGAGCGGGGTTCCTTTGTGTCTTCTGGGCTCCTGGGTAAGATTGTGCCTTGCAGTGAGGACACAGGTGTTGATGCCAACCCAGACCCTGGGTTCTAATTGCCCTGGAGTGAATACATTCAGTCTGGCAGCCACAAAATATAGGAGCGTAGCTACCATCTGCAAAGGCCAGGGCTTTCCCAGCACCCCGCCAGGTATGCCCAGCAGGAGAGACCCCAGGAGCACTGAGAGAGCACACATGCAGACACTAGGGAACTGGGAGGGTTCACTTAGGGTCATGAGGGCATGGGGAGGGCTCATTTAGGGACATAGGGCACTGGGAGGGCGCTGGGAGGGCCCTTGGAGGGCTCACTTAGGGACATGAGGATGCTGGGAGGGCTCACTTAGGGACACAGGGCGCTGGGAGGGCTCCCTTAGGGACCCAGGGCTCTGGGAGGGCTCGCTTAGGGACACAGGGCTCTGGGAGGGCTCGCTTAGGGACACAGGGCGCTGGGGGGGCTCGCTTAGGGACACAGGGTGCTGGGAGGGTTCGCTTAGGGACACAGGGCGCTGGGGGGGCTCGCTTAGGGACACAGGGTGCTGGGAGGGCTCGCTTAGGGACACAGGGCGTTGGGAGGGCTCGCTTAGGGACACAGGGTGCTGGGAGGGCTCACTTAGGGACATAGAGTGCTGGGAGGGCTCTCTTAGAGACATAGGGCATCGGGAGGGCTTGCTTAGGGACATCAGGGTACCGGTAGGGCTTACTTAGGGACATAGGGTGCTGGAAGGCTCACTTAAGGCTTCCTGTTCCCATAGGGCAAAGGAATTGCTTGCTTAGGGACATCAGGGCGCCAAGAGGGCTCACTTAGGAGAGCAGTCATGAGGCTGGGGAGACTGTGGCTCAGCATGCTGCTGGAGCTGGTTTTCTGAGCTCCTCTCCCCCTGCCTGCTTCCTGTTGAAGGCCATATTTAGTTGAAGGCCATATTTAGAAGCACCAGTACCCAGGGAAGTTATTTGTGTGCAGTCACACAGCCTGCATGTGATGGAGCTGATAATGGCGCCCTCCCTGCTTATCCCCTTTGAAGGAGAGGCTGGTGGGCTTATCTGGGGCAGGACAGAGCTTTCAGCTGTAGAGCAGTGGGTGCTCTCCTCCCCAAGCTTCCCTTGCTGAGAAGGCCCCACCCTGTGCCGCAGCAGAAAGGCAGCATGGGCAGGTCAGGAGAAGGTGAGGCGTCCCCCAGACACAGTGAGTGTGCGCCCAGGGCCGGCTCACCTCGGAGCTCTCATCATCCCATCTGGATCGGGGCCTACAGCACGCCTCTCCACTGGGTGCAGGGAAGGATGCCAAGGCAAGCCAGGCCTTGCAGTTGCAGAGAGAGGTGACACAGAGAGGACATGGGGCTCACGTCGTCCCCCAGGGCTGGCACAGGAGGCGGATGACAGAGGAATCCCCTTCCCTCCAGGTCACCTGGCTTGCCACGTTTTCCCTAAAGTAAGGACATGGTTCTTGTGCCCCCGGGAGGCGGTTCCAGGCCCCCACCCCAAGGAGCTCAGGACTGGCCAGATCAAGGAAAGCTGTTCTCATGTCCTCTCCCTGCCTGCGTGGCCCCTCAGTCCCACGCTGAGGCCCAGGCTACTGGGGCCTTCCCGTTGGATCTGTGCAGTGTGGCCCCAATACCCAACAGAAGGGAAAAGGAAGTAGGTTGGAAGTTGAGACAGAGAAGACTTCATTTGTTTCCTAAACAAATCCTTGGGTTCATGGGGAGGATTGAACAGATCTGATGGAGCTTAGGCCAGTTTAAAGTGAAATAGTGGCCTTCCCTGAAGAGAGGCGCCTTCCCGGGATGGCCGTTCCTTCATCAGGCATTTATTGAGCACCCTCGGGGGGCTGCACGCTGACACAGCAGGGTTGCTAACGGGACAGGAAGGCCCGGGCTCTAGGTCTATTGTATTATTTCCTGGTGCTGTGACCTTGGTCAGCCTTCTAGTGGGGACAGATGAATTTCATCCCCTCACTCAGCAATATTTATTGAGTGCCTACTGTGTGCCAGGCACCTATAAAGAGTGCCTGGGTGCTGGCATTGAATGAAACAAAAAAATCTCTACCTGCAAGAAGCATGGTTCTAGCAGGGAAACTAACAAGAAACAACATAAAGTGAGTCAAATTAGAAGTCATTAAAACAGAAATTGTAGATAATAAGTGCTAACAAGGAAAGTCAAGCAGGGAAGGTGTGTATGTGGAGAGGAGGCCGGCTGGAATTGCAGATGGGCGGCCGGGGAGGCCTGCATGAGTGCCAGCTGAGAGACCTCAGAAAATTGAGGGCGACTGTTAGACATCTCAGGGAGGATGCCCCACAGAAGGCCTAGCCCCTCGAAGGAGACCATGCTTGGCACGTGCCCTTACAGAGTTGACCAAGCCCATGCAGCTGGGGAGGGGAGGGCGAGCAGGGTAAGCTCACCTGCCTTGAGAGGAGACTGGTGTGCCCCGGCGGAGAAACAGGAGGTGCTTCGGGAGGAAAGGGCTGTGAGCTTGCGGGCTGGGACGGCAGCGGTGGCCGTGCTGAGAGCTCGGTGGGTGGAGGACATATTTCAGAAGCATCTGCTGACAAATACAACTTGGGGTAAGAGAGGAAGAGAGGGGTCAAGGAGGGCAGTGGTGTCCTTGACCTGCCCGCTGTGAGGATGAAGATACCATCGATGGCAGTGGGATGGGGTGGACGTGCTTTGGGGGAGATCCTGAGTGTGGATTGGATTGCGCTGTCCCAGAGATGCCCAGTAGAGATCCAAAGTAGACATGTGAGCCAAACCACATCGTTACAAAATTTTTTAAATAGCTGGATGTGGTGGTGTGCGCCTGCAGTCCCAGCTAATCAAGTGGCTGAGGCGGGAGGATTGCTTGAGCCCAGGAGTGTGGAGCTGCCCTGAGCCGTGATTGCACCACTGCACTCCAGACTGGGTGACAGTGAAGCCCTGTCTCAGAAAATAACAACAGCAAAGTAGAGATGTGGAGGAGGCAGCGGAGTGCACGCATCTGTAGTTCGAGGAGAAGAGCTGAGCTGGAGACACACATCCAGGCACTCTGGGCATAGAGATAGTATTTGGGGGCATGGAATGAATGAGCTTGCTTAGAAAGCGGATGTGGATAGTGGTGAGGTCTGAGAACTGAACCCCTGGGTGCTCCGAGGTTCAGAAGTCAGGAAAGTTAGGAGGAACCAGCAGAGGACACAGAGGAAGACTGGCCAGAAAGGAAGTGGGGGGCGGGCGCCAGGCCAGTGCCTTCCAGGAGCCACGGGAGAATATGTCTGGAGAGGGAGAGAGTGACCACCTTATCAGATGAGGACTGCCGAGTGGGAAGGGCCTGGAGAGCAGAACGGGGTGGTGGCAGAGCTCAAGGACATGGGATGAGAGTATGGGGGTCCCAGTGCTTGGACCATCAGGGCGAGCTGAGTGCCCTGGGAGCCCCAGGGGAGAGCCCTTCACCCACAGGGAGGGACCAGTGGCTTCTCCACCTGGACAGCATGAGAGGGGCCACGTGTGCCCCTCTGAGCCGCAGCAGTCAGGTGGGGATGTGCTCACGTGCTCCTGACATTTGGAGGGATGGGAGGATGGTCTGTGTCTTTGATGAGCCACAGCTCCGGAGGGGGAGAGTGCCTAAAAGGAATGAGACCAATGGGTGACCAGGTGTCCTTTCTCTCTCCCTGGCCGGCCATCTGCTGCCTCTTCTGGACCCCAGACTGCAGGACTGGGATGCAGACGGCTCCATTGTCTCATACCTGCAAGATGCTGCACAAGGTTCCTGGCGAGAGGAGGTCACACAAGGCCCACACTCATTCCAGAGAACAAGCACCACGGCCAAAGGGCTGGAGCCCAGCGGGTCTCAGGAGTACGAGAAGGTCCTGGTGTCGGTGAGCAAGCACATGCGGACACAGCAGCCCAAGGCCGAGAGCTCGCAGGCCGACAGGGACCGGAGGCAGCAAGCCCACGGAGAGCAGGTGCGGGAGGTTGAGAGCTTCTTCGCCTGGGTGGTGCGGGTGAGAGCCCGAGGGGCGCTGCGAGCCGCTGTTTGTTCCCAGCATCAGAAGGGGCCGGGGCTCCCGGCTGCCTCTCATGCACTCAAGCCTTGAGCTAAGCACATCTCCTTCCTTTAACACTTGCGGTGGTGCTTCTCTTTCTCTAGAAGTCAAGATCCAAGGGCATGTCCCACCTTTCTGCTTTCTGGATGCCTGCTAAGGCGTCTGTACTTGCTGGGCAGCTGCTGATCAGAGTGGCTGAGCAACTTGCTCTAAGCCGCAGTTTCAGAAGTGGGCCCTGAGCTAGGTCTGGCTGACTTCAGAGTTGTGGCTTGTGTTGGCTTTCTTGTTCTGTTGTGTTTTAGGAAGGGCTAAGGAGCCAAGCACCAGGCATGGGGCTTACTCTCATCCTTCCGTGGCCTGTGCACATGCCCAAGCCGCTCTCGTCCCAGCACCTCAGGCCCCCTTTGTTAAAGAGGGAGTGATCGGAATGTCGCCAAATTTCCTTGGCTCTGGAATTCTGTGGCTGTTCAGGTGGCCTCTGGATGGCAGTCACCAAGTGGAAGAGGGGCCCTGGGATACAGAGAACCCTCCTCTCGGCTCCTGATTTCTCCGGCATCTCCCTCTCTCGGCCCTCCCTCCTTTCTTCCGCTTCCTCGGACTCCCTTTGAGTTTGACAAACTTTATTGTGTGCGATTCGATCCCCTTTCTCATTCCCAGGTTCCATAATAACCCACTTGTGGCCAGTCTTGTTTCATCTGCACCCCCCACTTTCTCCCACTGACATATTATTGGGAAGCACATCCTAGCCATCGTGTGAATAGGTATCTTTTCCATCTGTGTTCTTTTAAAACATGCACCGCTGTTCTGTGCGTGTGCGTGTTTAGCGTGGACACCAACAACGCTCTCTATGTCTCTCTTTTCACACCTCATCCAGGCACGGTGCTTCCCCGTCTCCTCTGCTTCCCCGCTTTCTTTCCTTCTCCCTCTTCCTGCCTGAACCTTAGCCTTCGCAGTGCACCTTCAAGGACTCCAGGACTAGGGTGGCTCTGGAAGGAAGGCCCTAAGCCGCTGGCCATGGAGCTGCTAGGAATTCAGTCAGGTTTTATTTAGAACGCTCCCCTGCCAAGTATGTGCCCCTGGCGGGGCCGGCGGCTATGTGCATTTCTCACTGCAGGCGGCCCATGCTGTCTTCCATCAGGCCCTCCTGGGCGCCCAGTTCTCCTGTTCCCAGAGCACACGTGATCTTAACTGGGTCTCTTCTCCTGAATCCCTGGGGAAAGAGAAAGATGCCTAGAGCACTTTTCCCACTGCCCCTGTGCACTCAGCCCTTGGCAAGGAGAAGTAGACCCAGGAGACCAGGCAGCAGGCATGACAGCCCCAGGGCCTCATCCGGAGGACCTTCCAGATCACATATACAACTCCCCCAACTATAAATAAGGGCACTGCGGACCAGAGGAGGGGCTTTCTCCAGGGTCATGCAGTGGACTGATGTCAGGGACCAGGAGAGTACAGATCCCTCAGTTCCAAAGCCCCACATCCTTACATCCAGCCTGCACGTGCAAGGCCAGCACGCCCAGCCCCGAACCGGAGACACCGATGGGAGGGCCTGGCGGGAGGCTGCTAGTGCTCAGCTCACTGGCCCCCAGGGCTGATAAGGAGGCCCTTGAAGGTGATGATGGTTTGCAAAGCACCCACTTAGCATTTCCACTGGACCCCTGAAAACAGTGACAGGGAGATAGAGAGATTGCGTGTAACTCGGGATTTGGGGGGTAGCTGAGATGACTGTGACCCAGCTGACTTCTCTGAGGACTTAGGAGGAAACACCTGAATTTGGACTCTTTGACTGGGCCAAAACCAGATGCTTCGCCAGGCCTGGCTTCTTTGCACATACTTTTCCCCATGCTTCTTTTGAAATGAGCAGGATTGTGGAGTGAGAGGCATTTGGAATCTGACTCCTCCGTTTACTTACTCTTCTACCTAGGCAGAATACGTTGCTTCTGTTTCCTTTGTGTAAAACGGGAAGATGATAGAACCTGCGTAGTTAGGATTGTGGTAAGGTGTCACTGAATTAACGTGAAATCCACATAGAACCATGAACTACCACAAGCGTCTGCCATTGTTATTCATAGCAGTAGCATTCATAAGCTGATGATTGTCCCAGCAGCCTTGAGAAGGGGTGGGGAGAGTACTTTAACCCCTGCTTCACAGATGAGGAAACTGAGGCACAGAGAAGGTATCCAGCCTTCCCAAGACCCCACAGTGGGTGAGTTGCGGGGTCAGTCTGCTGTGTCCCAGAGCTGTGTTCTTTCTGCCATGCTGCACTGCCACTCAGAAAGGAATAGGCTGATCTAGAAAGTGAATTTTTTCCCATCCGCAGCTGCTGTGGCTGCATTTATGAATCAGCTCTGTAAATGCAAGTTGAATGCATATGGTTCCTGCTGTGGGCATTGATAGCCTCACCCGGGAAGAGCCCTTAAGGACAGGCCTTAAATAGACACAGGAGCTCCACACTTCAGTTTCAGGAGGCTGTGCCCCTTAAAGGAAGGGTGCAAGGGCCTGCGGGCTGGCGGGAATTACAGACCGGCTTCCAGGTGGCCCCACCACCTGTGCTGGGCGCAAGCCCATCACTCACCCTTTTGGGGCTATTTTTGAAACAGACCCTTAACTATCCAGTGTATTAGCTGGTCTCATACCATGTGATGTGCTGGGAACATCATTGGGATCACTGCGGTAGCTGCCCAGGGACACACAAGTGACTGCTTTCCCAGACTGAATTACCTTCTCGAGTCCCTGACTGAGAAATTTTCCCTGGGCAAAACTCTCTCTAGTTCCCATGGGGATGGGCAGGCAGGATAGGCCAGAGGCCAAGCCCCTACTTCCAGCTCTCTGGGCAGGGCAGGGCAGGTGGGGCGGGGCAAGGCAGCAGTGGGTGTCACTTACACAGTGACTTTCACTTGTGCTTTCAGTGCTCAGGACACAGGCACCTGCCAGCTTCCTTCTAGCCCGGTTGGACAGCTCCGGCAGCTGGTTCGGGAGCTAAAATTATAGGAGCCCGACGTCACCCGGGCCACTCAGGGCAGAGCCTGGCTGTTGGGCAGAAGGGCACTTGGGCCGGGCTGCTCCAGCCGAGAGGGGCATTGGGTGTCCTGCCCAGAGAGAGAGAAACAGTAAGAGACCAAGAGAGCAAACCAGAGAGACAGAGAAGGGGAACTCAGGCGTCCCAGTGGAGAATGAGTGGCGGGCCCCCCACGGCGGCCGGGCCCCTGGCTGCACTGGTCCCCCGAGGGCCAGGCTGGTGAGGAGGCGAGGATGTGGACTTTCGTCACCCAGCTCCTGGTCACGCTGGTGCTGCTGAGCTTCTTCCTGGTCAGCTGTCAGAATGTGATGCACATTGTCAGGGGCTCACTGTGCTTCGTGCTGAAGCACATCCACCAGGAGCTGGACAAGGAGCTGGGGGAGAGCGAAGGGCTCAGTGACGACGAGGAGACCATCTCCACCAGGGTGGTCCGGCGGCGGGTCTTCCTGAAGGTAACCGCTGGCAGCAAGCCAGCGGGGCTGGCGGTGCGGGTGCCGCTGCTGTGGGGAGCTCTGGACCCAGAGTTGGGAGACGCTGGACGAAAAGGACCAGGAGGCCCCCAGGGATCAAGTTCTGCCCTGGGAGCCAGAGTGTGGCAGTGCCCACCAGAATCCACCCTCCAGCACCCAGCGCGGTGTGGCAGAGACACTAAACACTCAGCTCTGGGACTCGGAGGCTGCTCTCGTCCTGTGACTGTGTTTCTTTCTTCTTTCTCTTTTCTCTTCTCTTCTCTTTTCTCTTCTTTTCTTTTCTTTTCTTTTTGGAGATGAAGTCTTGCCCTTTAGTCCAGGCAGGAGTGCAGTGGCAGGGTCATGGCTCACTGTAACCTTAAATTCCTGGGCTCAGGTGATCCTCCCACCTCAGCCTTCTGAGTAGCTGTGACTACAGGCACGCACCACCAGGCCTGGCTAGTTTTAAATTTCTTTTGTAGAGACAAGGGCTCACTATGTTGCCCGGGTTGGTCTTGAACTCAGTTCAAGCCACCCTCCAGCCTCAGCCTCCCTAAGTGCTGAGATTGCAGGTGTGAGCCACCATGGGATTGCGCCCGGATGATCCTGTTTCTGTCACCACCTGGCTCTGGAGTTTTGGGCAAGTCACATTCTGGATGATGCTGCCTGTGCAAGGGCGTTTCTGTACTGCAAAGTGCTATAAAAATAGGACACAGGTGCCTCACTTCCTCTCTCAGGGCCTCCTCCATCAGACTTGCATAATCGCCCCCATCTTGCCAATTCCCAGGGGGCATTGTGAGGGCCGAGTGCACAGTTGTGAGCTTGGGCTGTTCGTCTTCAGGCACCGGGACCTTCAGGGGTTCCGCCCACGCCCTGGGAGCCCTGGCGTGGCTCCTGTTTCTCTGCGTGCTGAGCCGGGGTTTCCTGCTGGGGGAGTTATTGGGCTGTGGCTATTTTGGCTGCTGCTGTTTCATTTCCTCTTTTTCCACGACTCCCACTCACCAATCTCGCATATTCTCCCTTTCTCTAATTCTAGGGGAATGAGCTTCAGAATATTCCAGGGGAGCAAGTGACAGAGGAGCAATTCACGGATGAGCAGGGCAACATTGTCACCAAGAAGGTGGGTGCAGAGCGTTCCCTCTGTGCTGGGGAGAGGTAGGTGGGCCAGAAGCTAAAAGGTGGTGGAAGCCTGCAGCTTCTCCCACTGCCCTGAGAGCCCGTGAGCATAGCCGAGCTGGCCACCGCCGCAGAACAGGAGGGATGGAGGGCCCAGGATCTGGGAGCTTTGGTCAACTGAAGTTCAGACACGGTGTCCGCACAACCGTGTTGTCTGAGTCAACCTGAATAGCTCCAGCTGCTCCCTTCCAGAAGAGCTGCCCCCAAGAAACATCCCAGACCTAGTCCCATGATGCCTAACCTGAAAACAGCTGTTAAACGAGCAGTTTGACCATCCCTGGCCTACTACGAACCTCCTCAAATAACAAGGATGTGGGTCGGGTGTGGTGGCTCACACCTGTGGTCCCAGCATTTTGGGAGGCCAAGGCAGGAGGATCACTTAAGCGCAGGCATTTAGATGACCCTGGACAATATGGCAAGACCCCAGCTCTAAAAAAAAGTTTAAAGAGATATATATTGATATGTATATACATACACACACACACACACACACACACACACACACACATACACACACATATACATATACACATACAATATGGCAAGACCCCAGCTCTAAAAAAAATTTTTAAAGAGAGAGATATATATATGTATACACACACACACACACACACACACACACACATATGCATATACACATACAATATGGCAAGACCCCAGCTCTAAAAAAAATTTTGGTAAGAAATATGTGTGTGTGTTATATATATGTATGTGTATATATGTGTGTGTGTATGTGTGTGCATATATGTATACACATATATATGTGTGTGTTATATATATACACATATACACATACAATATGGCATGACCCATATATATGTGTGTTATATATGTATACATATCTATAACACACACATATATGTGTTATATGTGCATATAGACACATACATGTGTATATAGACACATACATGTATATGCATATACATATGTGTGTACGTATACATATGTATATACACACACATATATATGTACACACACATATATGTATATACATATATGTATACTCATACACACACACATATATATACACATACAAAAAAATTAGCCAGGCATGGTAGTGCATGCCTGCAGTCCCAGCTACTCAGGAGGCTGAGGCAGGAGGATGACTTAAACCCAGCAGTTCAAGGCTGCATAAGCTATGATTGAACCACTGCACTCCAACCTGGGTGATAGACTGAGACCCTGTCATGATAATTAATTCATTAAAAGGAAGTGGAAATGCATCGAATTGGCAGCAGATGTTAATTCAGCAGCCATGACCCTGCCTGTCACGTGTGGGGCACGGTGCTAGCTATGGGTAAAAAAGAGGAGGAGCTGGGGCAGGATCTCGAATGTGCCCCTGCTGTAAAGAGGAGGAGCCGGGGCAGGATCTCGAATGTGCCCCTGCTGTAAAGAGGAGGAGCCGGGGCAGGATCTCGAATGTGCCCCTGCTGGGGCGCAGCTTGCACCACCCGGAGCAAGGCTCCTTGGGCATCTGTCTTTCCTCCTGCACCGTGAGCTGCTTGCAGGCAAGGACTGCGTCTCACTGATGTTTCATCTCCCACTCAGAGCACATGGCACGTACAGAGTAAAGGGTTTGAATATTTGGACAGGTGAACACAGGAATGGGTGGGTGAAAAATAGATGCCCTCTGCCCTTAGGGGCATGGGAGTAGAATGGGAAAGAGCACAAACTCCTGTCCATACCAAGAAGTGAAACAGAAGACTGTGGGCTCGAGCGGGAGGTCACATCCAGTCACACCTTGGTCATGAAATGACACTGCCAAGGCCCCTTCAGGGCTGTCCAGGTTAAGGTTTTCCATAGAGCGATGGGGCAAAGGCTGTCCCTCTTCTTGGCCTCTCAAGGGGGGGCTCCTAGGACAAAGGCTCCCTCCCCCTCGGAGTTCATTCCTGGGACCTGCTCTTCTGAAGCTTCATATTGAGGGCTTGACAAGCCCTTTCTTTTTTTCTTTTTTTTTGACACAGAATCTTGCTCTGTTGCCCAGGCTGAAGTGCAGTGGTGTGATCTCAGCTCACTGCCACCTCCACCCGCCAGGTTCAAGCGATTCTCCTGCCACAGCCTCCCCAGTAGCTGGGATTACAGGTGCCCGCCACCACGCCCAGATAATTTTTGTATTTTTGGTAGAGATGGGGTTTCACCATGTTGGCCAGGCTGGTCCCGAACTCCTGACCTCAGGTGATCTGCCCATCAGCCTCCCAAAGTGCTGGGATTATAGACTTGAGCCCCCAAGCCCAGTCTGACCAGCCCTTTCCTCCTTCCCTTCCTTTCCTAGGTCATTCGAAAAGTGGTTCGGCAGATAGACACGTCCAGCGCTGAAGCCGCCCAGGAGTACGAGGAGGTGATTGTCGAGGGGCCCCTGGAGGATCCCAGTGAGCTGGAGGTTGATGTTGATTCCTTTATGAAACACGCTAAGGTACTGAGGCGCCCGTGGCCCCGGGAGACCCAGCGCCGTCACTGCTGCCTCGCTCTGCCCGTCTCGCGGGCCCATCTGCGCCACACCTCCCTCCACTCACCTCTTGACGAGCTCTCCCTCCAGTCTCCCCTCTCCCCGGTGGGCAGTGTGTCTGCTGCCTCCATGTGGCCTCCTTTCAATCTACCTGTGTTCTGCCCATCTGTGCGATCTGTCCTGCTTTCTGTCTCTGCTGCTGTCTCCAGGTGGAGCTGAGAGGGAGTGGCCTACAGCCGGACCTGATAGAGGGCAGGAAGGGGGCACAGATAGTGAAGCGGGCCAGCCTGAAAAGGGGGAAACAGTGACCCTGAGCCGCTCTCCTTGGAGTAGCCTCTCGGGAGGTAACACCACCCTTCTCATCCCTTCTGCATGGCCTGGTCTTTGGTGGAGTGGCTGCTCCCCTTCTCACCCCATCCCCTCCCGACCACCCCAGCATGACGTGGGACAAACTACTTGTTGCCGTGTCTCGAAGCAGAGATTCTCACTTCTCAGCCCTACTAACATGGCTCTGAGCCCCCGCTTCCTCATCAAGGAAGCAGAGTTAGTAATACGCACTTCTCAGGGACTGCACGGTTTTGTAAGAATGTTTTTTGGGCTGGGCACAGTGGGTCATGTCTGCAATCCCAGCACTTTTCGAGGTGGAGGCAAAAGGATTGCCTGAGGCCAGGAGTTTGAGACCAGCCTGGATGAGAGAGAGAGAAAAAGAGAGAGAGAGAGGAGAATGAAAGGAAGGAAAAAATACTCTTTGAAGAGTAGAAGCACTGTCTAAATCTAAGTGGTAATATTATCTTGGAAAGCAAGCCGTGGGGGTCTGGAGGGCGATGGACAGGGCACTGGAGAGAACAGGAGAGTCTGTCTGGGCTCAAGACTGAGGACCGGACAGTATCTTGAACCTGGAGCCCAGCTACAGTCCTGACCAGGCCAAGGCTGAGCTTCTCCTGGGTGTTTTGTGAAACACGTTGCTCCCTTGCTTTCTAGGAAAGGGTTGAGCTGACAGGCGCAGGGGGTGGACGACATGCTTTCTGTAAGTCAGGAGACCGTCAGGGCTGGGGCCTGGGCCCTGGTGCATGTGTGTGAGCATGGGGTAGTGTGGCTATGGAGCAGGAGCGTGTGTTGCGTGCCATGCTGTGCCGTGCCTTGAGGGAGGGCCGTGAAGACGCTGCGCAATGGTCTCCAGCGGGGGCATGCGGTGCTGGGGGCTTCAGCGGCCGGCTCTGATCTCCATCCTCCCTGGGGCATCCTGTACTGAGCTGCCCCGAGGCCCTTCATGCTGCCCAGCTCGGGGCAGCTCAGTACAGGATACCTCGGGGTGGGAGTCAGCAGGAGGCGAGGGGGCACGGTGGCCCCGGTGCAGCGCTACCCAGGTGTTACCATTCACACCCCAGGGCCTGACTCTGGGGCAGAGCAGCAAGGAGGCTCTGGCTTTCTGCATTCGGAAAAATCAGGGCCCGCTGCCTCTCGAGCCACCAGAAGTGCTGACTCTGGGCTTCCCGATATATCTCAGCACTTGGGCAAAAAAGAGGACTGGCAGATCCAGTTATAGGATAAAATTAGACCTGACACCTCAGCAGCTTAAGGAGGTCACCGTGTTAACCCCCACACTGCCAGGGGTCCTACTAGGCTGCTGGTTTAGAAGACTGAGCAGCTGCAGTCGTGTCCTGGAAGGAACCCAAAGGTGCAAATAATGTTTAAAAGCAGCAAAGGGAAAGGAAAAGTACCCTCTTCTGACTTATGGTAGTGGGGGCGGCTGTGGCTTTAAATTTCTGTTTGGCTTAGGTTCTACGGATGCTCCTGAACAGGGGGAAGGCGGGAGCCTTGTTTTTGTTTTAATGTGCTGTAAATGATCTGCAACATGGCTGAAGCCCCCCCTGCCGGGTGATTAAGGACCAGACCACATGAATTTGGTTGTCAGAAGCATGGAGCAGCCTGGCTCCAGGTCAGCACTGAGCCCTCTGTCAGTTACAGGCACGGGGACAAGTGTGATGGGGGTAGGAGCAGTGGCAAGGGGGAGGCAGAAAAAAGCTCCTGTTGAGGTCCCAGAGGGTTAGGGGATAGCATGAAATGCCCTACCCTTCCAACCAGGCAAAGGCTACAGAGAAGACGGTTGAGGGCCCAAAGTCTTTCTCATTGACCACCTCCCACCCCCCACAAGCATGTACAGCTGATCCTCATCATTCACGGATTCTGCATTTTCGAATTCGCCTACTCACTACCATTTATCTGTAGCTCCAAAGCCGACACTCACCGGGCTTTTGCTCATCACGGACAGGTACACGGGGCAAAAAGTTTGTTGCCCGACCAGTGCAATCCCAGCTGAGGATGAACAAGGCCATACTCTGCCTCCTGGCTTCGTACTGTAAATAAGTGTCCTCCTTGCGATCTGGGTAGTGCCATGTTTTTGAATTTTGGGTTTCATTGTTTAGAATGGCCCCTGAGAGCAGTGCTGAGTACTGCCTGGCATTAAGTGCAAGAAGGCTGTGATGTTCCTTAAGGGGAGAGTATACCTCAGATAACTCCGCTCAGGGATGAGTTAGAGTGCCCGTGGGGTGAGGTCAGTGTGCACAAGTCAACCCTACTATATATTACATAAGGTGTCTTGAAGCAGAAACGCACATAAGACAGTTACGTGTTCATCAGTTGACCAAAATATTATGGCCAGAGGCATGCGAGAGCCTAGCCTTGTATTTCCCTTAGGAACAGTGGTTCAGTATTTGCTAATTCCGTGTTCACAGTGACATTTTGTTTTTGTATGTATGTATTTATTTATATTTTGAGAGGGAGTCTTGCTCTGTCACCCAGGCTGGAGTGCAGTAGCACGATCTTGGCTCACTGCAACCTCCATCTCCTGGGTTCAAGCGATTCTCCTGCCTCAACCTCCTGAATACAGTAGCTGGGATTACAGGCATGTGCCACCACCCTTAGCTACTTTTTGTATTTTAGAAGAGATGGTGTTTCATATGTTGGCCAGGCTGGTCTCCAACTCCTCACCTCAAGTGACCCGCCCTGAGCCCCCCAGAGTTCTGGGATTACAGGCATGAGCCACCGCGCTAGGCCTCAAATAGCGATTAATTTATAAAACAGAACTATTGCAAATGACAAGAATGGGCTGTATTTATTTCAGAGAGTGAAAACTGGAGCTTGTGCATCTAGAATCAAGGCCTCCTCCTCCTGCTTCCAGGTTGTATGGCTTTAAACAAGTCATTTAACTGCCCTGAGCTTCAGTCTCCTCAAGGGAGGATGAAAATAGTCCCTTCTGGATGTGCTACTTGTCAAGAAAACGGTTTAGAAATAATACGGTAACTGAACGCTGATGTGAAGAGTGAATAAGAACATGTATGCTCTGGGGCCCAAACAATTGCAGGTCTTGTTTGTAGTGTGACTCGGAGCAAGCCAAGTGACCTCCCTCAGCCTCAGGTTCCTTTGCCATAAAATAGCAACAGTGCCAATGTTTCCCTTGTAGGATGGTTATGATGGTTGCTGAGCCTATGTCTGTGAAAGAGCTGTCTAGGGCCAGCCATAGTGACCTATGCCTGTAATCCCAGTGCTTTGGGAGGCTGAGGCAGGAGGATCGCTTGAGATGAGCCTGGGCAATGTGGTAGGACCCTGTCTCTACAAAAAAATTTTAAAAATTATCTGAACATGGTGGCACATACCTGTAGTTCTAGCTACTTGGGAAGCTGAGGTGGGAGGGTCGCTTGAGCCCAGGAGTTCCAGGCTGCAGTGAGCTAGGATCGCACCACTGCACTCCAGCCTGGGCAACAGGTCAAGACTGTCTCTAAATGAAATAAAAATAAAGAAAGGAAGAGGCTGTTTTCTAAGGGTTTGAAAGGTGAGGGACGCAGAAGAAGCCCAGAACCATGGAGGAATCCTGGGTAGAGTGAGGTGGCCTGGGTCCTCATCCCACCCCTGCTCCTGCTGGAGCACCTCCAGAGTCTCAGTTTACCAAGGGATGAAATGGGCAGCCATGACAGTGTCATCTCTGAGGCTTGAATTTTCTTTTCTGCTCAGTGCCTGGGCAGCAAAGTGGGCGGGAGATCCTAGCCTGGCTTTCCCACGCCCCACATTCCATGATGGCCTTTTATTTGAAGAGTGCTTCCCCTTGGGGCAGGCACGGTGGAGAGCTCCGGGAGGCTGCTCCTGCCCTCAGTATTTCTAATCCAGCCAGGGAAATATGCAGACAGTAAAAAGCACAGACAGACAGAGATGGTTACATTTCCAGAGCCCAGTAATTGTTCACATTCATACAATGCTAAGCACCTACATGTCGTAGCTTTTTTAAACATCACACCTCTCTAACGGGTTCATCCTGTTACTGCCCTCATTTTACAGCAGAGAAAACTGAGTCACAGAGCAGGTAAGGCACTTGACTGAGGTCAGGCAGCACGGAACTTGAACCCAGGTGGTCTGGCTCCAGAGTTCATGCTCTTACCCACTCGACTCCGCGATCTCCCAAACAGAAAAGGCAGCCACGGGAAGGGAGAGCTTCCAGAGTGGAGAGAGGTCGAGGCGATCAGGAAGGTTTTGTGGGGTGGAGGTGTTGAGGGCGGCAGGCAGAGCGTCTGCAGAAAGGAGAGGAAGGCAGCCTTGCTGGGAGAACTATGACCGAAGGCAGAGAACAGGGGGCAGAGCTCGTGCACAAGCTTAGAGGAGACAGTCAGGCGGTGCCGGTGGGCTATGTGCTGGCCCAGCAGTGATGAAAACGTCTTCCCTCTATGGTGACAGGGCTGTCCACCACTGCAGCATCGCTTCCCGGTTTTACAGTTCTACAGCAGCCCCTGGCAAGGAACCCAGCACCACTCTCCCATCCCTGGGGAACCACTCCGGAGCTGAATTCTCCCTGCTTCCTTCCAACACTCCTCCCCCGCCCCTCCACCTGGAGGGCCAAAGACAGCTCCATTCTGGGGGACGGCTCCACCTCCAAATGAGCTCCTACCTCCCTGTGTCACTTCTCCCAGAAGACTGTCACCTTCTCCTTATTGATGCATCCTCCTTTCCCCAGCATCCCAGGGCCCCTGCAGATACAAGTTGAGTGGCTGGTCCTGAAAATATGGAGTTTTCACCCCAGGTTGGAGGCTGGAGGCCCCATGGGGGCAGGAGAAGTTTCTCACTGTGAATCCCAGGCTGAGGAATCCTCCAACGAAGCTGCTGTTTTCTAGCCTAAGACTCAATACAGAAGGAGGAGAGGAGGATGCATCTGTTTTTCAGAGATCTCTGGCCTTCTGAGGGGCCTGGGGAGAGCAGCCAGAGGCACCTGTCAGGAAGAACTGTGGACCACAGCTGAAGGGGAGGTGTCACCCCTGAAGCCATGAGCTCCCAAGGCCAGGGAGCATGTCCGCTCCATCCCTGGGTCCCCAAGGCTGGCACATGGCAGACATCAGTGCATGCTGTCAGAGCTGAACTGAGACAGTGAAGGCCTCACCTAGCCCCTTCTTGGCACAAGTCCTGGCTCGTGACAAATGGTCCTTCCTAAGTACAAAGATCTGCTTGGGAGGATGTCTCCCCAGGTGACCACGTAGGCATGGGGGCCTTTGCTCCTCGCAAAGAGCACAGTGCTCTCCTTCGCCCACACAGAGGCATCCTGGAGTGTGCGCACTCAGAAGGAATTCATGAGGCCTGGGTGGCAGCTCTGAGGAACAGCCTCTGCACAGGGAGCCAGAGAAGGAGGGTGGTATCTCAGGAGGCCAGGCTTGCAAGTGCGACGCCCTCAGCACCTCGCCTTGCCTGGGGAAACTGCTTTTCCTGAGTCAGATCCGGCCTGAGCTGCCAGCACAAAACTGTGTATAGAGTTTTTGTGGGACGTTGCATCTTTGCATTCTAAGTGACTCCTTCTCTCTTTGTGTCTCCCAGGATCACACCTCGACACCCAACCCCTGAATCCCACACACTCTGCCATGCACACTGGAGGAGAGCTGGACCTGAGGGCCACCGCAGCGGTGCACACGTTCCTCTGGGCTGACGGCATGACCTCTGTAAGGGACTCCCGCTAGTCCCCTCTTCGCATGAACGACTGACTGTAGACGCATGACCTCTGGGCTTCAATCCTGCCTCTAGCAATGACAGCTGATCTGTCGGAATCAGGACACAAAAGCAGCGAGAAGCGGGGAGAGAGAGGGATAGAAAACAAGCGTGGGAGAGCGTGCGAACGCGAAAGTGAATGAGGGCTTTTTGTGACTGGGGATGGGTTTTGGTTTTGGAGGTGTTTTTTTTTAATTGTTTTAATTTTGACTACATACAGGGTACTTTTTTCCAACCTCATCTGTCAGAAATCCATGTGGGCTTCCTAAAAGAAAAAAAAAGAAAACTAGGCATGAAATCAGTTTAGCACCTTAATCTTAAGCGATGCCCTTGTCTGCCCACCCTCCCCAACCCACACACCTCCCTTCCACTTGTGACACCCCCTCCACTCCCTGGCGAGGCTCCTCCCAGATCGCTTTACATGACATTCAGGACGTGTGTGCGCTCACGCGCACACACACACACACACACACCACTCGCCTCCACTGACTCTACACACAGATTTTACTGTGACATCCGAAGCTGTACAGACTCTGCTGTGGATAAACTGGAATTTTTTATGTTGTCTTTTTCTCTCTCTGCCAATTTCAGTACGAATTATCTTCCAATGGAAAATCATTACCTTGAGAGTGCATTCGGGGTTCCTTGTGTTAGGGACTTAAGAATCCGAGGCGAGGACCCCCAGGCTTAGCCATAGGGCTCAAAGGGAGTCAGGGCCCCATCTGAAAGGGTCTCCTCTCAGCTGGGGATGGGCCGGTGGCTGACCCAGGATTGCACCAGCACGTCCATAGAGAAGAGGTTTTCTATATCTTCAAGCACTATATCATAGTCTGTGTTCAAAGTGTAAACTGTACAGTAATCAGCCTTGTGTATATGAAAAACAATAAATACTATGCAAATCAATAGAAACATTTAGCAGTACGTACAGAGCCTGACAGCGCAGCTCCTGAGGACTTCTGCAGCGGCAGAAGAAGGAGCTACGCCTGTCTTTCAGTGAAAGAGGAAGCAAGGGAGTAGGGCTAGTGAATGTACTTGCCAGGTCTCAGAAGTCAGGACCACCCAAGGTCTTCCAGAGTGAACTTGGTGCTCTAAGTCCAGACAGCCCGCAGGCTGGGGACCCTGGGTGCAGGTGCCAGGCCTGAGGCAGGACAGCCTCGGTGCCTCCCCTCTGCCCAGCCCCTGTGGCCTCTTGGAGAGGCAAGCCAGGGGTGCTCCCGGACCATGTGGCCAGTGGGAGCAGGGGCGGGGGCGGAGGCGGAGAGCCTGGACGCCCAGAGGCAGGAGCCAGGCTCTGGGTCAGGGTAGGAAGGAGACAGACAGCTGGCAGTTCCTCGCCTCGGTGCCATCAGGGAGGAGCCTTAAGTTCCACTACAGCCTCCGGCCCAGGGAGGCCCGAATCAGCACAATCCCGGCCCCGCCCTCGCGGCGGGCGCCCCCCAGGCCAGAAGAGAGACAGCTGGCTCCTCTCGCCCCGGGAGCGGCGGTGTGGACGGCCCGGCCCCGTCCGCCCCGCCACTCTGCGGGGGTGTCCTGGGGACACACTTAAAACTTCCAAGTAGCACAGAAGCCCCCTCCACGTCAGAGGGCCCCTGGCCGCGGGGCCTGTGAGCGGAGAGGGTCCCTGCACCCCCGAGTTCGCCCCGGTGCTCCCCAGGCCTAGTGGGCCCCGGGGCAGACGAGGTGTCTTGCCGGCAGGGGGCGGGGCTGCTTTTGCTTCCTTAGAGGGGCGGGCAGGGAGAGGAAGCTCTAGCTCCGGGCCTCAGTTTCCCCGAGGCTGCGTCGGAGGAGCTACCAGGCGAGCCCGGGAGCCGCCGCTGCCGCCAGAGGCCACCCCGGCTCGGCCTCCAGGGTGCAAGGCGCCCCCGATCCCCCAACCATGGAGGCCGCGCGGCGCGGCTGGGACCGATTAGGTGACAGCCCAAGGAAGCTGGGCGCAGGGCTCGCCTCCCCCGCCTCGATCCTGCACCTTCCTCTCCCAGGTCGCCGCTGCAGCCTACCCAGTAGCCCCCTTAGCGCCCCGCGCCCCCCTACCCCGCGGCTCCAGGCTCCGCTTTGGCACCTCTGCTCCGGCTGGCATGGCTGCGCGCTCCGGCTGCTGTAAGAGCTGTTAGGGAGGAGTTTGGGGTCTCCACACGATGCCTAGAGAATGCTGCAGTCTGCACATTAGACGCTTTTTAGAAGTTTTGAAATTACCTTGATTTTTTTAATTGTTATGAAAATGGATCTTTTCTTGACTCTCCCACATGCTCTGTTATGGGAGAGAATCCCCCACCCCACTCTGATGTATAGACCATTCTCCCTACACCAGCCGAACCAATGTCAAAATTAATAAAGAAATGGACTAATGGCACGGGGCTCCATCTCTCCTTCCCACTCGTCTTTTGGGGGTTTAGGGGTGCTGGGGCCAGTGCAAAGCCTGGGTTGGGATACGAAGGAGTCTATGGGTGGGCCTCGAGCACCAGTGAGCCGGTCAATGCCCAGTCCTTCCGGAAGCCTGGACAACCCTTAATCAGGACCACCCACTGGGGAGCTGCCTCCCGAGAGGTGGCAGAGCAGATTTCAGTGCCACCTAATGGTTCCCATGAGATGGGGAGAAGCTGGGAGTCTGGGAGGGGACACCACAACCCACCAGGGTCCTTGGCCAGGCCCCCAGCTGGCATGCACTGAGGGGACCCCCAGCGCTCCCTAGGAAGGCATCTAGTCCCAGTACTCAATGCCATTCAAAGTTCAAGAACTTGCTCTTGCTGCAGGGAAAAAAATTGCCCTATTCCTAACTAGTTGCTAACACTTCCTGAAAGGCTGGTCGCCAAGCTGGCCTCAGTTTTCTTATCTGTCTAATGGGAGAATGGATTAAATGGTTGCTAAAGTCTCTTCAGTTTCTCATCCTGGGGGTGCCAGACACCAATGCCTTTGTCAGGCTTGGCATTAATTAAGAATCAAATAATTGGCTGCGGCTTTCCTGCCACATACATTCCCATCATGAGGGGGTGACAGAGTCACAGTCCCAAGGCCGCTGGAGCACCCCAGCCCCACCCCACTCCAAGCCTCTCTCCTGGAATGGGAAACGCCGTCCAGGCCAGTGGGCAACCGTGGCAGGTCATCTGCAGTACCCAGGGAGCTTTTTAAAGCGCAATTTGAGAATCATAGTTGCCTGGGTGGGATTGGGTGGCAACACCAGGAACCAAAACCAGGTTTACCAGATGGCTGTGGCACACAGCCTGGTGGCAAAGCCATCTCAAACGAAGACGCAGCTCTTTTCTCTTTAAACCAAATTTGTAGAGAATCATTCCACATCCTTTCTGAGGTCTTTCTTGTATAACCTAAATCCCTATGCCACAGAGGGTCAACTTCAGCATGAGAAGGAAGCCTGCACTGAGCCCTGGGTCCTCTGCTCCCCACTGGAAGCCAAGACAGCCTGGGAACCCAGGAGCAGCTCAGCGAAGCAGCGTGCCTCGTTTCCCAGCTGCCAGGGCGGCCTCTGGGTGGTGACAAGCCCTGTAGAGCCCATGCTTGGTCAGGAACGGTTCCGGGGCCACCAGGCAGAGAGAGGAGAAGTCTATCTGTCTGGCAGTCTCAATCTTTCCTTGAATTTTACGCGTTCAGGCCAGTGGCAGGCTAGTTTCCATTGTTAGAGAAAAACTGCAGGAAGGAATGCTGCCTGGTCCAGAAATCACCCATGCACCTGAAATGTGGGCTCCGACTCCTCTATACCTTGGTTTCCATGTTTGCAAAATGAGAGTTGCCCCAATAGAGCCTTGTACATTGTAAAAATTTATTCGAGAAAAAAAAAAAAGCAGATGCGTGCTCTGTGGTTCAGACCAGTTTCACGCATCAGCTACTAACTGATCACCAACCGAGTGCCCGGCACTGGGCTGCACCACCCTCTCAGCCATCAGGGATTTCAAACCTGGGCACCATGCCAGACAGAGCGTGGCCATTGGTCCAGCAGAGGCACGGATGAGGAAGAGATTCTGATAGGGAGGTCAGGGAAGGCCGAACAGAGGTGGAGGCAAGAACACACATGCAGGGCAGCCCTCCTCTTCAGCCTCTGGCAGCTGGAGGACACACACCCCAGCATTGTTGGCTGCCCACGCCCCATCCAGCCCTCTGCCTAGCGGGCTCCCACCTTAGGCTCTCAAGCCAGCCACAGGGACTTGCATCCCCCAGAAAGCAATGCCACTCAGCCTCGCCACTTACCCCATCCCAGCAGCGGGAAGAAAAGGAAGAGGCTGCATTCTCCTGTGGAGCTTGGACATCTGCACATAAAGGGGCCGGCGCAGCTCCGGACAGTGGCCTCTGAGCCCAGCCTCCTCTCCTCCAGGGGAGCAGCTGCAGTGACTTCCAGCTGCCTTGGAAGTCTCCAGAGGCTCCCAGACACCCACCTTTTCCTAGATGCTAGACCTGGGGGGAGCAGGTGGACCCTCCGGCGATGAGCAGGGCTTCTGGAGCTAATTCTCTGTCTCTCTCTCACACACATACACACGCACACACATACACACACGCACACACATACACACACACACACCCTGGCTGACTTTACAGTCAATCTTTCAAAGTGCAATTTGTCTAGGAAAAGCCAATGTGAGGCCCGTGTGCGCCCCGACCAATGGCGGCGCAGCTCCAGCGGCTCAGCCAGTCTCAGGCCTGTATTCTAATGGGCCGTATCTTTATCAGGGAAATGTTCCTTCTCTGAACTTAAAACTTCTCATGGAGGGTCCCCCGACTCAGAGGCAGAAAGGGGGTCTGAGCTGAGGCGTAGGGGGCCTCCCTGTCCAGCCAGGGCAAGGAGAGAGGCCAGGAGTCCTGGGGAGGCCTCCCACCTGCCCTGAGCACCTGACTTCTGAGCAGCTGACCCGGTGCGGGTGCCTGGGCCAGGGCCAGGTCGATGCCTTAGGTGGGAGGCAGTCAGGGGCTCGGAGCCGGTCCTGCCCCTCCAGGCCTGCCATGAGATCTGGGGCCAGAGCGTGCGCTCTTGGGTTTTAGGGGCCTGGAGAAGCCTTCCCTGTCCTGACCAGGAGATCATGGAGTCCAACCTGCAGGGGACATTCCTGCTGAACAACACACCGCTGGCTCAGTTTCCAGAGATGAAGGCCCCCATGTGCCAGTACTCGGTGCAGAACTCCTTCTACAAACTCAGCCCCCCGGGGCTGGGCCCCCAGCTGGCCGCCGGGACCCCCCACGGGATCACGGACATCCTGAGCAGGCCGGTGGCTGCGCCGAACAGCAGCCTCCTCTCCGGCTACCCCCACGTGGCAGGCTTTGGGGGGCTCGGCTCCCAGGGAGTCTACTACAGCCCCCAGGTGGGGAATTTTTCCAAGGCCGGGAACGAGTACCCCACCCGGAACCGGAACTGCTGGGCCGACACGGGCCAGGACTGGCGAGGCGGGCGGCAGTGCAGCAACAGTGAGTATGGGGTCTCCCCAGCCACCCTCCCGGACCCACCAGGCCCCAGGGAGGAGAGGACCAGGAGGGGCCTCCTCCCAGGAGCCCTGCTCCCTGCCCTCTCCGCTAGCCGCCATTAACCCCAGGACTCATGGCCTCAGCTCAGTGCAGGCTGAGTTCCACCCTCTCCTCCTTCCCACCCAACAGTGCTGAGACACAGGTGTCTGAGCCACCCCTGTCACCTGCTGCCACCTCAGCTGCCCTCCTAGGGCCTGTGGCAGTTCCAGACCTAGAGAAGGCTCCGCAGCCCACACCTGCCCTGCCCGGGGTCCAGCAGGCAGCCCAGCTCACTTCTGCAGCCCAAGACCCATGCCACTACTTCTCCACCAAAGCAGGCAAATGCCACCCCCGTAAGGAAAATGTCCCAGCTCACCTTTTCAGAGAGCCCCGGCATTGCTCAGGGGTACAGGACGCACCCTGGCCCCATCTGGGTCCAGCCTTTGAGCCAGGGGGCTATGCCCACCACATCCTTGGGTTTCTGGCAACAGCAGCCGCATCAAGTGGCCAGCCTCTGGGAGCTGCTGCCAGCCCAGCTGAACTTGGCCCTGGCTGCCGGGAAGCGGGGGGACCTCTTCTCAGCCCACCCACCCCTCAGCCAAGGTTCTCAGAACTGTTCCGAGGGTGGGCCCGTGATGTTGGTCAGGGTGACTGGAGGAGGTGGCAGGGCATGTCCAGGTAGGGCAGGCTCGGCTGGGAGGCAGGGAGGTGAGAGTCTTTGGAATCTTCCCTGTGCCACCAAAACCCTGCCCATGTCAGGCAGGGGCCTCCACTTCTGTCTGATCTCTGGGCTCCCCCACTCCAATAGGAGCTTGAGGTCAACCAAGGAAACCCCAAAAGCGCACCTGTCCCCTGATTTGCTACCCTGCCTAGCCGGTCACACTGCCTGTCACCCATTACTGTGCCCGGAAGGTGAAGCCCCCTCTCTTGGAAGCTGTTTTAGGCTTGGCTTTGGGGGTGCTTTAAGTCTCCAGCTAGCTCTCTCATCCCTCCATCTCCCCCTCCCCACTCCGCACCCCCCACGCCCCCTCTTCAGTACGGAATGCAGGTACACACACAGGGACATAGCCAAGAAAGTCAGTGGATAATGAAGGCAAAGGCAGAGGCTTGAAGATGATCTCTCAGGAGGGTTCTTCCTCTCTGTGCCTCAGTTTCCTCACCTGTAACTTGAGCCGTCAGACAGCAGAGAACGAGGCCTGACACGTGGGAATTCTGCCTCCCCTGAGCCCACTGCCCACAGCTCCTTCCCGAGCCGGCTGCCCTGGCCAGGCTGGGGGTCAGGGTCTCTGGCCTCCATGCCAGGCTCTCCAGGGTAGTTGAAGCCACATGACTTCCAGGCCTGGTGACATGGAGAAGTGGCAGCTTGGGGCTTGAAGTTCACCCCTCCCTGGCTTCCTGGAGACCTGGGAAGTTGGGTCTCAAGAGCAAGGAAGTTGGCGAAGCCAGGGGGTGGGGGGAATTCATAGGCCCTGGTCCCTAATTATAGGAGGACATCTCTGGGACAGAGAGGGACATCCCTGGGACAGAGAGGGAAGTCCTGTTGCCTCTCAGGGGAAGGCAGCATCAGTATTGAGAACTTTAGACAGAGAAGCATGAGGCTCTGCTGACCCTAAGTCTCCTTACCCCAGGGCAGCTGCCCTCTAGGAGCCCTGCTCAGCCAGGCAGGGCAGAGGTCACAGTCACTGTTCTCCAATATCAAGAATGCTGGTCAGGGGAAAGGAATCTTGGTGTCCTGGCAACCTCTGTGGGAGGGAGAGGAAGGGCAGGGCTGGTGCCATGTGGGCCGTGCCTAGCTGCAGGGTCTCCACTTATCCTACTAACCCCACACCTCCTTCCCCCCGCCAGCCCCAGACCCCTTGAGTGACAGCATCCACAAGAAGAAGCACACCCGGCCCACCTTCACGGGGCACCAGATCTTTGCCCTGGAGAAAACCTTTGAGCAGACCAAGTACTTGGCTGGCCCCGAGAGGGCGAGGCTGGCATACTCACTGGGCATGACCGAGTCACAGGTCAAGGTGAGTCTGTGTGGGAGGAGCCCATCCCCGGTGCTGGAGAGAGGTGGCCACGCAATGCAGCTTTCCAGAGGGCGGCTGTCCTGGTGTCTGCCTAACCCTAGACCCTGTGTAATACACCATAGCCAGGAAAAGGCCGTCACCCACTGAGCCCCATTCTCATTTCACCCTCTCAGCAATCCGGGGCGGGGGGCGGGGTTGGTATTATTATCCATTTCACAGATGAAGATCAGGGTCTCCTGGCTGGGAGAGCTGGCAGAGTTGGGGTTCAACCCCAGATGTGGGGAACGCCAACCTCAGGCTTTCCCTCTCGCCTGCTATTTGGCCGAAAATTCCAAACACTGTTGGCAGCCCGTGGCCCAGATTCAGGCTTGATGCTCCAGCCAGCAAAAGGAGCTGACCTCAGTTTACCAATCTTTGTTTTGTTGTTTTTTTTTGAGACGGGGTCTCTCTCATTCTGTCACCTAGGTTGGAGGGCAGTGGTGCGATCTCGGCTCACTGCAACCTCTGCCGCCCGGGTTCAAGCACTTCTTCTGCCTCAGCCTCCCCAGTATTTGGGTTTATAGGCGCCTGCCATTGTACCACACTAATTTTTGTATTTTTAGTAGAGATGGGGTTTCACCATCTTGGCCAGGCTGGTCTTGAACTCCTGACCTCATGATCCACCCACCTCAGCCTCCCAAAGTGCTGGGATTACAGGCATGAGCCACCTTGCCCAGCCCCTATCTTTAAGAAGAAAATGCCTCCTCCTGCTGAGCAGGATCGGATGGGCTATCAGGGCCTGGAGCCATGGCTGGGAGGGTGAGCCCAGGCTCTCCCACTCCAGCCTCTGGGGCCCCAAGTGTCCCCTAAATAGACCCGGGGAAACCTGTTTCTACTGCTTCAGTGTCTGGAGGCAACTTTCCCCGCTTTGATGATAGATGTCTCTTGGGACTTTCATTGGGGGGGCACCGAAGCTCAAGAAAGCTCGGAACTTCGGGGACTGCTGGCTCAGTGACTCTGCAATCAGGCTAAGGATGCAGCAGGGGCAGCTGGCACTGGGTTCTGGTTTTTGCTCAGGGCCCTGGAGCCTCCCCAAGCTCCCAACTTCTGCACCCTCCTCATCAGCCCTCACCAACTGCAGTGGGGCGAGAGCTGGGGGGGCAGAGGCGGACCCTCCTGCATCTTTCTGCTTCCTTCCTGCACTCTTCAACTACCCCAGGCAATGGACCTATGTTACTTTTCTAATTAGGGTAACAATTATTTATGAAGTTGGGTGAGGGTCTATGAAACCCAGAGGAGGGACAGCTCATAAGCACCTTCCGATGCCACCAGGGCTAAGCCTTCCACCCCACACGCCGCATCTTCCACGAGTGCCCAGAAGGAGGAGGAGGAGGAGGAGGAGGAAGAGGAGGCGGCGGCGGCGGTGGCGACACGGGGTGGGGTGGAGGGGAGGGCTGCGGCGAGCTGAAGGGCTGCTACGCTCACGTTTTTAAACTTTATTGTCCTTCCCCAACAGAAACGTGAATGTGACAGCCACTCCGTTGTTGAGCCATTCGTTTGGCTGTAAAAGCAGGAGAGCTGTTCTCGCGCCCGGTGCGCGCTGTGCCAGTGACCCTCGGCGTCTTTCTCGTCCCAGGTGTGGTTCCAGAACCGTAGGACCAAGTGGCGGAAGAAGAGCGCCCTGGAGCCCTCGTCCTCCACGCCCCGGGCCCCGGGCGGCGCGGGCGCAGGCGGGGACCGCGCACCCTCGGAGAACGAGGACGACGAATACAATAAGCCACTGGACCCCGACTCAGATGACGAGAAGATCCGCCTGCTGCTGCGCAAGCACCGCGCCGCCTTCTCGGTGCTCAGCCTGGGAGCGCACAGCGTCTGACGCCCGCCGTCCAGGCCCGGGGTCCCGGCTGCAGCCCGCGGGGGGACGCCGAGGAGCCTGCCTTCCCCTCCCCTTCCCCACGCCGCTCCGCTGGTGGCGCAGGGACTGAGTCTTCAATGAGGGGCGCGTGAAGGAGGTGGAGGAGGAGCGGCAGGTGCAGGGGAGGAGGCAGAAGAGGAGGAGGGGAGGCGGGGGAGGAGGAGGAAAAGGAGGGAAAGGGGACGGTCATCCCAGCTGAGGGAGGAGGAGGCCAGGAAGGAGAACAGCACTCCTGAGACCTGGAAACCCTGGCCGCTCCTCCGCGGCCTCGCCTGCCAGTTCTGCAGATTCTCAAGTGCACGAGGACTAAAATGACCAGGCTCTGCAGCCAGGAAACTGGCTACGGGGTCCCAGACAGGCCACTGTGATCCAACTGTGGGTGGGGGACCCTTCCCAGGGAGGGAGGCAGCTGGCTGGGAAATCAGAAGACCAGGGTCTTTGTTCCCAAGCCAGCAGCTGGCTGCAGAAGAAAAGACGACTTGAGTGTCCTGGTGCACTCCTCAGACCTGTGCGCAGGAAGGGTCCCACTGGAGGGCCCAGAGCTGAGCACCTAACCCGGGCTGCAGGAAATCTGCCTCCAGGAGGGGAAGTGGGACATCCCAGCGAAAAATAAACCCCCCTGGCGCTCCAGGATGATGGCCCCTAAGCTTCGGAAATCCCCCCTGGCCTCCTTTCTCCGATTTACCCTGAGGTCCAATACCTCTAAGACCGGAAGACACAGGAAATCCCTGATGGCCGGGAAAAAGGGCGGGTGCAGGGAGAGGCGAGGCGGGGATGTTGTACCCAAGGACCACCTACCTGGACATCACTTGGTGCTGACAGAAGGAAGGACAGGCCCACCGGGAGAGAGGGAGCACTCCACCTGGGGAGGAAAAGAAAGGCTGAGAAGGACAGGGGAGCATAACCCTTCCAACAAGGCGGGAAGGGAGAAGGAAATCCCCTCCCGCTGGGTAAAGGATGCCAGGGAGGGGCTGAACCACAGCCTGCTGGAAACCACGGCCCTTCCTTTCTTCAAATAACCTTGCTGCCTGGCACTGGAGCTGGTGGCTGACAGGGATGCTGGCCAACAGGGTGGTGTTTTTCACCCAGGAGGATCTGTGCTGCTGGCAGGTGGGGGGTGGGCTGGGGGAGGTGGGTGGGGGCTGGAATGCAGCCCAGAAGGGACCAAGCACTTGCCCATCCTCACTGGCTTTCAAAAAATAAACACTAAAACTGAAAGTCCACAAACCTCCTTACGGCTCCTGTGCTTCTGCGAATGGGATGAACGGCAGGAAACTGTTGAGGTCCCAGACTTGCCAGCTGTGGGGCCTTCCCCGAGGGCTGTTGTCTAGTCTTCCGGGAACATTCGTGCTCTGACAGGTTGCACAACACAGGTTATTTGAAACCTTGCTGGCAGATGCCAGACACTGTCCCCAGGTGCTGAGAAACCCAAGACGAATTTCATGGGGTCCCTGATCTCCAGAAATGTATAGCCTACTGGGGAAAATGGTCTGTGTGGAGAATGGGCTCATAAGAAAAATAAGGTGGGAGAGATTAGAAGAGCTAACTAACAGAACACCTCCTAATTTCTCCCCTGTAGAATGCCTGGATTATCTCACTGACCCCACAAGAAAACTAGGCAGTAGGCATCATCTTCAGTGCATGGAGGAGAAAACTGAAGCTCAGAGTCCCATACCAAGTCACAGAAGTGGGGAGAGGCAACCCCAGAGTAGATCCCAAGGCCCTTTCAGCCACTTCCTTGGGTTGCGAGGGGCACCCTTCGAAGCCTTTTCTGTCCAGTGAGAGTCTAGAAGTAGTCTAAGGCCCTTCCAGCTTCAACCATCTATGCTGCTAGCAACTAGGCTTGACCCCTTTGCTCTCCCAAGAAGCCCATCGCCCAGTCTTGGACCCCCAGGGCAGGTGAACCTGGGCCTGGAGCCAGCCCGAGAGGGGATGAGGGTGGAGGAAGACCCTGAGCATCTCAGAAAGTGGGGCACCCACCTTTCCTATGACCCTTGGTGAACCCGGAGGACAGTGGGGAACATGACCAGAAAACGCAGGATGTGTGTAAACTCCAGCCCTCTGTCTGTGAAGATGCCGACACTCAGGTGTCCATCTCCCGACTTGTAAAGTGGAAAGGAGAAAAGAAGGGAAGGGAGAAAAGAAGGGAATGGAGCACAATCTCTGTGTGGCCCTGCACTGCACGGGTGTCCTGAGCGGGCCCGACAGTGGCTGCAGCAGGAGAGGACCCTAGAATTCAGCACAGGCTTCAAAGATGAAAAGTGTCCGTGGTTCTGGGATGCCTGCAGGTCACCAAGTGCTGCAGGCAGGAAAAGGCTGTCACATAGCCCCGGTGCGAAGCCACCAAGCAGGCATGGGGGAAGATGCCGGTGACATAAAAACTGTTTACTTATCTTTCTCTGAAGCATGCTGTAATCATAAGTGCTCTATTGTAGCTATAATTCCTGCATGTCTGATTCAAGTCGTTTGGGGTCAGTATTAAATGAAGCCTGGGGAAAGGTTTTCCCAGGAGACATTTGCTGAGCTCAACCAAACCTCTTTCGACCTCAAAGTTCTGGGAAACCTGCCACCGGAACTTTTGGCTCAAAGACTCCACCGTTCCCGGCCATTTCCTCTAACTCCACCCTCCTGCCATGTGCATCCTGAATGGAGGGCCAAGCACAGGAGAGGCACTGCCTCCCAGTTCCCTAACGATCATGCTGAAGCATATTCAAAAGACTAGATTTGGGGGCGAAAAGTCACAGGTGGATAACCCAGATTCCTGAGGGTGATTTGGGTAAGTCTGGCCCTCTGCAGATGTGCACACATGTGAATGCCTGTACATACCTGTGTGTGCATACGTGTGTGTGTGTGAGTTACTTGGGAGAACATAAGGTTATCTCACTTTATTCATCATAAAGAAATCATAAGCCGGCCCGGTGTGGTGGCTCATGCCTGTAATCCCAGCACTTTGGAAGGCTGAGTTTTGAACTTGACCAGCCTGGCCGACATGGTGAAACCCTGTCTTTACTAAAAATACAAAAATTAGCTGGGCATGATGGTACATGTCTGTAGTCCCAGCTACTCGGGAGGTTGAGGCAGGAGAATCGTTTGAACCGGGAGGCAGAGATTGCAGCGAGCCGAGATCGCACCGTTGCACTCCAGTCTGAGTGACAGAGTGAGACTCTGTCTCAAAAGAAAAGAAAAGAAGAAAAGAAATCTTAAGCCATAGGCCCCACTTTTATCCCTGCTCATAAACAGAACTTCTTGTATATCCTGGGTTAAATAAACAAACATACAAAAATCAACAGAATTCTGGAAATCCATGCTCCCTGCAGCGCCTCTTTTACGACATCACAAACTTTTCAGAGACAAAAGGAAAGAAATTAAGTTCTACGTCCATGACGCTCGTGGTGTCTGCTTTGACATTGACTCCATGGGCTCCACCAAGTAGGGACAGATTCCGCCATAGCCATCATCTTTGTGGCTTCTGCTGGTAGCAGAACCCAGGATGTGTCTTCAGCAGGTCGGGTGAGGGTGGGTGGATGTCCATGGCTTACCAGGCTCACAGGGGCTATATCCTGATTATAACAATCAGAAAGACAGCAAAGAGGCCCGGCACGGTGCCTTGCGCCTGTAATCCCAGCACTTTGGGAGGCCAAGGTGGGCAGATCACCTGAGATCAGAAGTTCAAGACCAGCCTGGGCAACATGGTGAAACCCCATCTCTACTAAAAATGCAAAAATTACCTGTGCATGATGGCGGGCACCTACAATCCCAGCTACTGGGGAGGCTGAGGCAGGAGAATTGCTGGAATCCAGTAGGAAGAGGAGATTGCAGTGAGCCGAGTTTGCACCACTGCACTCCAGCCCGGGCAACAGGGCGAGACTCTGTCGAAAGAAAGAAAGAAAGAAAGAAAAGAAAGAAAAGAAAGAAAGAAAGAAAGAAAGAGAGAGAGAGAGAGAGAGAGAGAGAGAGGAAAGAAAGAAAGAAAGAAAGAAAGGAAAGAAAAGAAAGAAAGAAAGAAAGAGAGAGAGAGAGAGAGAGAAAGAAAGGAAAGAGAAAGAAAGGAAGGAAGGAAAGAAGGAAGGAAGGAAGGAAAAAGAAAGAAAGAAAGAAAGAGAGAGAGAGAAAGAAAAGAAAGAAAGAAGGAAGGAAGGAAGGAAGGAAGGAAGGAGGGAAGAAAGAAAAAAAAAAAGAAAGGAGACAAATCGCTAAAGTCCCACTTCTGGTAACCCCTCCTCATCCTCAGGCCACCTAGGTTTTGATGCCAGAAACCAGCTGTCCCTGCAGCATGGGTTAGGGGAATGGAGTCAGCTAGATATGGGCTCAAACCACAGCTCCACCACTCTCTGTATCCTTGGGCCAGTTATTTAACCTCTGAGCCTTGGTTTACTCATCTGTAAAACAGGAATCATTCTACACACCTTGCAGGGTTTCTGTGAGATTAGAACCAATGCATGTGCCTGGTATACAGAGACAGTAAACAGTAGCCCTGTATTATTCAGAGAGGGCTTTGGTGTGAGTGTCAGTGTCCCCTCCAAAATTTAGGTGTCAAAACTAACTCCCAGCCGGGTCAGGTGGCTCACACCTGTAATCCCAGCACTTTGGGAGGCTGAAGTGGGTGAATCATGAGGTCAGGAGATCGAGACCATCCTGGCTAACATGGTGAAACCCCATCTCTACTAAAAATACAAAAATTAGCTGGGCATGGTGGTGCGTGCCTGTAGTCCCAGCTACTCGGGAGGCTGAGGCAGGAGAATTGCTTGAACCAGGGAGTTGGCAGTTGCAGTGAGCCAAGATCATGTCACTGCACTCCAGCCTGACGACAGAGCAAGACTCCATCTCAAAAGCAATTTAAAAAAAAAAAACTTAACTCCCACAGTGATAGTACTGAGCGGTAGGGCCTTTGTGAGGTGATAAGGCCATCAGGGCTTCGTCCTCATGGATCAGATTAGTGCCCTTATAAAAGGGCTTGACAGAGTGAGTTCAGCCCTTTTGTGCTCTTCTGTCCCTTCCATGTGAAGACACGGTGTTCAAGTCACCACCTTGGAAGCAGAGACCAGGCCCTCGCCAGACACTGAACCTACCAGTGCCTTGATTTTGGACTTTCCAACCTCCAGAACTGTGAGAAATAAACGTCTATTATTTCTAAATTACCCAGTCTCAAATATTTTGTTAAGTGCGACAGATGGACAAAGGCTCTCAGTCCTGAGTTTGAATCCCCACTTCACAAAGCAGTAGTTGGGCTGCCATGACTGGTTAAACTCTTCAGCTCCACTGTCCTCATCTGTAAAATGAGGCAGATGAACCACTTCTTCAAGACAGATGAGAAGATTCAGATGGAATCACACACAAAGCGTAGAATGCTGCAGGCACTTAAACACTGACACACTCACACTCCTTCTCAACAATGGGATCAGCCGGTCCAAAGTCGCAGCAACCCATCCCTGTAACAGTCCTGGCAGGTCAACTACTAGCTGGGAGGCTACAGAAGTACTCAACGAGTGACCAGATTAGTTTAACTTCAAACCCCAGAGGTCTGGACTCCAGAGCAGGGGTCTGAACCAGGTGCCAAGGGCTGAATTCAGCGTGCAGATGTGTTTCTTTATGGAACACTGCTTTTATAGAAACTGTAGCTTGCCAGGCACAGTGGCTCATGCCTATAATCCCAGCCCTGTGGGAGGCCGAGGCAGGCCAGTCACCTGAGGTCAGGAGTTCGCGACCAGCCTGGCCAGCATGGTGAAACCCCGTCTCTACTAAAAAATACAAAAATTAGTTGGGTGTGGTGGCGCACGCCTGTAATCCCACTACTTGGAAGGCTGAGGCAGGAGAATGGCTTGAACCTGGGAGGTGGAGGTTGCAGTGAGCCAAGATCACACCACTGCACTCCAGCTTGAGTGACAGAGCGAGACCCATCTCAAAAAAGAAAGAGAGAACTGTGCTTGCTAGGCGGGGCAAGCCTGGCCCGTGAGTGACCCACCACTTCCCACATCCCACACCTGGGCTCCCACATCACCTGTCTGGTTCATGCAGGTGTTTGGGTCTGTGCACCTGCTCTAAACTTCACTATGCAAAGAAACGGTCCACGCACAGAAGCAGCAGCGTCTCTTGGGAAATTGTTAGAAATGTGGCATTTCGGGCCTTATCTCAGACCTCTTGAATCAGAATCTGCATTTCAACAAATACCCCGTGAGGAGATCCAGAGTGGACATGTCTTTGTGCATGTGTGTGGACAGCACGCTTCTTCCAGACACACAGCCTGGATGCTATCATTTGGATATTTGTCCCCACCATCTCCAATGTTGAGATGTGATCCCCAGTGTTGGAGGTGAGACCTAACAAGAGGTGTTTGTGTCATAGGAGTGGACGCCCTCACCAGTGGCCAGTCTCCCAGCCAGCAAAATCATGAGCCAAAGAAACCTCTTTTCTTGGCTGGGTATGGGGGCTCATGCCTGTAATCCCAGCACTTTGGAAGGCTGAGGTGGACAGATCATCTGAGGTCAGGAGCTCGAGACCAGCCTGGCCAACATGATGAAACGCCATCTCTACTAAAAAATATAAAAATCAGCCTGGTGTGGTGGCGTGCGCCTGTAATCCCAGCTACTCAGGAGGCTGAAGCAGACAGAATTGCTTGAACCTGGGAGGCAAAGGTTGCAACAAGCTGAGATGGCGCCGCTGCACTCCAGCCTGGGTGATAGAACAAGACTCCATCTCAAAAAAAAAAAAAAAAAAAAAAAAAAAAAAGAGAGAAGGAAAAGAAAAGAAAACAAACCCCTTTTATTTATAAATTACCCACCTTCAGGTATGTCTTTATAGCAACACAAATGGACTAAGACACTGGCCGAAATTGGAGGCTCAATGAAAAAATTCGTAAACGAGTACAGATGGCTATGGGTAGATTCATAGCACTTGTTAGCATGGGAGACACAGCTGGAACTCCACTGTGAGCAGAATAAGGAAAAGCTTCTGAGAACTAGAGAGTAGCTGCCACAGAGCCCATGCAATGCTTTCCCAGGTAAGGCCAGGAGATTCAACCGGTGCAAGACTAGACTCCGAGGGTCCTGTCAGTGAAGACAGGGAAGCAAATCACTAGCAGAGGCTGAAGGAAGCAGAAGAAG